TGAGGAAGAGATTTTTTTGGGGAAAAAAAAGCAGTCTAGATGGGGACTTCATGCGAAAAACTACTTTAAAAAAAATCTTCCAAAAAAGGGATTGGAAGAAGATATGCAAATTTGCACCTAATTTGCATATCTTCTTCCAAAGCCATGGATAGTCTACACATGCTGTTAAAGACTAAATAGTTACAGGAGGTTGATACGAACCAATAGTTTGCTCTTGGAAAGGGAGATGACCAACACCAGATTCTACACAGACATCAGGAACCATTAGCACCTTAATTGTTGGGTTGGCTGATAATCAGTGAGCCATCTGATGTTCCCATTCAACCCATTAGCATGAGACTTAAACTTGTGAATGAAGTTAAGCTACAACCCCTCTCTGTATATTTGGCTTGTGGAATTGGTCTGAAACAAAACAGCGACGTGGAGATCCATTAACCAGTGTCCAGGCAGGTTAAAGTGTCTCCTACAGGGTTCTGTGTGTTGCCTTTTCGGAGATCTGATCTGTGTTCATTCATTCTTTCCTGTAAGAACTGTCCAGTTTGGTTGATATCCATGGCAGTGGGGCATTGCTGGCCTTTGATGGACTACACCGCATTAGTGGATGTGCAGTTAATTGAAGTCCAGTATTGTGAGCCCACTTCTTCAGATGAGATGAGCTTGAGTAAGGAAAAAATGGGGAACCCTCCAACGGGGAACCCTCCAAATAAGACAGAGAGGGTAGAAAAAACTACTTAGGAACCGTGGAGGGGCGGGGCAGGTGCAAGCTGGATGCTGATGTCAGGAGCTAGGAAAAGAGAAATTTTCTCCTTCCTTCCTCCCCCCTTCCAGCCCAACTATTTGCCCCCGAACTCACTGTGAGCCCACAATACCGCATCTTTCTTCGAGGGGAATCTGTGACCCTGACATGCTCAGCTCCCAGCACGGCCACCGTGTCCGGGATCCGGTTCTTCAGGGATGGCCGGAGAATCGGCTCCGGAGAGCTCCAGTGGTCTTATTACCGTGTCAGCGCCTCCCTCCTGCTGTCGAATGTGTCTGAGTCGAATGCCGGGGTGTACAGCTGTGAGTCGTGGAGGACAGAGTCTGGGCAAGAGGTCCCACTGCAGAGGAGCCAAAACATCTCCATCGCAGTGACTGGTGAGACCCCCTGGCTGCCGCTGTTGGCTGGGCTGTGGCGGGGGGTGTCTGCTCCATGCGCTGGGCGATACAGCTCAGTCACTTGGCTCCAGACATGGTCACTATGGGGTCAGTTTTACCCCTGATAGGGAATTTTAATCAGAGGGTTCAGATGCGGGTCCAAGCTCCATCCAAATCCATTCCAGACACCCTTCTTAAGCACCCAGCTTTATTCAGGAATGCATTCCAGGGCAAAAATCTCCAGGAAACTCTCAGGAAAGTTTCACAACTTCCCAACAAAAGGCAATGTATTTTGTACAACCTTACATGGTAATCACCCCTTTCCCACTGACCACTCACAGTTACACACATACACAGGTCATGCCCTCTGCACCAAACCTCCTCCAATCATTACCTACTCCCTCAGATTCCCTTCTCAGAGTTCAAACCAGTTTCACCTGTCCCTTCCTGGTTGTATACCTGTGTCCAAACATGTACCTCTTTACAAAGACCAGACATAACATCCAGGTCACACAGAGGTCATACTGACAACAAATTAATTTTATCCTTCACCCCATCTCTGGTCAGTGTCAGTCCCTGTGTCCCTGCAGCACCCAGCACTTTGGGGTTATGGGGAAGGGGAGCTGGCAGGGAAACACAGATGGGGGGTCCCAGGCGAGCAACAGAAGTGGCTTCAGTTTATAGCAGGAGTTGATGATCTGGGATGTCTAATTGAAACCCAGATTTGGGGCCAGGCCTGTAACGTGCGTCAGTGTCACAGAAACATGGACTCTGAGGCCAGAGGGGCCGAGTGATCGTCTGCTCTGACCCCACCGAGCGCAGGGACCAGCCCTGAGAGAGCCCTGCCTGGCACAGAAACAGCCCAAGGGCTGGTGGAAAATTGCCAGAGATGGCGTAGCCCTGTGCTGGGTGCTGGGGGGAGAGATGGAGGCAGCCACAGGGCACAGGGTTACGCCATCTCTGGTAATTTTCCACCCTGGTTCCCTCCCAGCCCAACCTTCTACCCCTGCCCCTTTCAAGGGCCCTTAGCTCCTTACACTGGGTCCCTGGTCACCTGTACAAGGCTCAGAGCATCCACCCTGGCACCCTCCAATAGCACAGATGCCGACATTTGGCAGGGCCCAGAGCTGTGCAGAGGAGCTGGGCTGCAAAGGGTAAAGGGGGGGCAGGCTGAGAGAAGCTCTGGGTGGGACTGGCTGAATGGGGGAAGGGTTACATAAGAACGGCCGTACTGGGTCAGACCAAAGGTCCATCCAGCCCAGTATCCTGTCTGCCGACAGTGGCCAGCACCAGGTGCCCCAGAGAGGGTGGACCGAAGACAATGATCAAGCGATTTGTCTCCTGCCATCCTTCTCCAGCCTCTGACAAACAGAGGCCAAGGACACCATTTTATCCCCTGACTAATAGCCTTTTATGGACCTAACCTCCATGAAATGATCTAGCTTCTCTTTAAACTCTGTTCTAGTCCTAGCCTTCACAGCCTCCTCTGGCAAGGAGTTCCACAGGTTGACGGTTGACAGTGTGCTGTATCATGAAGAACTTTCTTTTATTAGTTTTAAACCTGCTACCCATTCATTTCATTTGGTTCTATGTTGTGAGAACAAGTAAATAACTTTTCTTTATTCACCCTCTCCACACCACTCATGATTTTATAGACCTCTATCATATCCCCCCTCAGTCTCCTCTTTTCTAAACTGAAAAGTCCCAGTCGCATTAGCCTCTCCTTATATGGGACCCGTTCCAAACCCCGAATCATTTTAGTTGCTGTTTTCTGAACCTTTTCTAATGCCAAAATATCTTCTTTGAGGTGAGGAGACCACATCTGTACACAGTATTCCAGATGTGTGTGTACTATAGTTTTGTATAGGGGCAGTAAGATATTCTGGGTCTTATTTTCTATCCCATTTTTAATAATTCCTAGCATCCTATTTGCTTTTTTGACCTCCACTGCACATCGCAAGGATGTTTACAGAGAACTGTCCATGATAATTCCAAGATCTCTTTCCTGATTCCTTGTAGCTAAATTAGCCCCCATCATACTGTATGTATAGTATAGTTGGGGTTATTTTTCCCGATGTGCATTACTTTACATTTATCCACATTAAATTTCATTTGCCATTTTGTTGCCCAATCACTCAGTTTGGTGAGATCTTCTTGGAGTCCCTCACAGTCTGCTTTGGTCTTGACTATCTTGCACAGTTTAGTATTGTCCGCAAACTTTGCCACCTCACTTCTCCCCCCTTTCTCTAGATGGTTTATAAATCAGTTGAATAGGATTGGTCCCAGAACTGACCCTTAGGGAACACTAGTTACCCCTCTCCAGTCTGCGTTACTGTTTACATGTGTGGGGCGCTGGCTCTAAAGAGTTTTCTCCTTCCTCCATCTACCCCCCCAGACCAGCTGTCTGCCCCCGAACTCACTGTGAGCCCACCACACCGCATCTTCCTACGGGGGGAATCTGTGACCCTGATGTGCTCAGCTCCCCGCATTGCCACCGTGACCAGGATCCGGTTCCTCAGGGATGGAAAGAGCATCGACTCCAGAAAGCTCCAGTGGTTTCAGGACAAAGTCAGCTCTCTTCAGGTGTGGAGTGTGTCTGAGTCACATGCCGGCGTGTACAGCTGTGAATACTGGAAGACAGAGTCTGGGCGAGAGATCCCATCGGAGAGGAGCCAAAACATCCCCATCACAGTGACCGGTGAGCCCCTGCTGTTAGCTGTCCCCATGGCCGGGGGTCTTCCCTCTATGCACAGGGCAAAACAGGCCGGTCACGTGGCTCCAGACTGGGGTCAGTTTTACCTCCCAGCTCTGGTCAGTGTCAGTTCCTGTGTTCTTGGAGAACATGGCACTTTGGGGTTATGGGGAAGGGGATCTGGCAGAGAGATAAGGATGGGGTGTGGGGGTCCCAGGCAAGCAACAGAAGCGGCTTCAGTTTATAACAGGAGTTGAGCAGACGGGGTGTTTAATTGAAACGCTCATGTGGGGCCAGGCCTGTAACGTGCATCAGTGTCACAGAAACATCGACTCTGAGGCTGGAGGGGCCGAGTGATCGTCTGCTCTGACCCCACCGAGCGCAGGGACCAGCCCTGAGTGAGCCCTGCCTGGCACAGGGCAGATCCTGTAGAAACACCCCTAGGGCTGGTGGGAAACTGCCTGTGATGGCACAGCCCTGTGCCCTGCTCTGGGTGCTGGGGGCCGGGATGGAGGCAGCCTGGCTTGATGATGAGAGCTGGGCCAGACCTGGGAACAAGGGAGGAGTAGATGGCCGGAGAATCGGCTCCGGAGAGCTCCAGTGGTCTCATTACCGTGTCAGCACCTCCCTCCTGCTGTCGAATGTGTCTGAGTCGAATGCCGGGGTGTACAGCTGTGAGTCGTGGAGGACAGAGTCTGGGCAAGAGGTCCCACTGCAGAGGAGCCAAAACATCTCCATCGCAGTGACTGGTGAGACCCCCTGGCTGCCGCTGTTGGCTGGGCTGTGGCGGGGGGTGTCTGCTCCATGCGCTGGGCGATACAGCTCAGTCACTTGGCTCCAGACATGGTCACTATGGGGTCAGTTTTACCCCATCTCTGGTCAGTGTCAGTCCCTGTGTTCCTAGAGCACCCAGCACTTTGGGGTTATGGGGAAGGGGACCTGGGAGGGACACGGGAATGGCGGGGAGGGGGGGAGGCTCAGGGAAGCAACAGAAGTCACTTCAGTTTATAACAGGAGATGATCATCTGGGTTGCTTAACTGAAGCCCAGATCTGGGGCCAGGCCTGGAACGTGCGTCAGTGTCACAGAAACATCGACTCTGAGCCCAGAAGGGCCGAGTGATCGTCTGCTCTGACCCCACCGAGCGCAGGGACCAGCCCTGAGTGAGCCCTGCCTGGCACAGGGCAGATCCTTTAGAAACACCCCCAGGCCTGGTGGGAAACTGCCAGTGATGGCACAGCCCTGTGCCCTGCTCTGGGTGCTGGGGGTCAAGATTGAGGCATCTTGGCCTGATGGTGAGAGCAGGGCAGGACTTGGGAACAAGAGAAGGGAGGGGCAGACGGATTGAATCAGAGAGGAGCCAATCCATCCCCATCACAGTGATGGGTGAGACCCTGTCTCTCCTGCTGTTTGCTGGCCCCATGGCAGGGTATGGCCACACAGTGGACAGGGTCTGTCCCTGAGCTCAGGACAGGTCCACCCATGTCAGTTAAACCCCCCCCAATCTCTGCAGTGGCAGGCT